GGTCACTGAAACTGTTAGTGAGAACACCTGCCTCCTTTCCCAAGGTTAATATGACCAGGTCCTTCAAAAAATGTAATCTTGAATCCTTTCTAAATGACATCAAGAACCGTCCATGGCACAGATTAAACCTTATCCCAGATCTGGACTGTGCAATTGGATTCTTTCAGTCTGAACTCCTACAAGTTTGGAATTTGCATCCCCCACTGCGTAAGATGAGAGTAAAGGGGGCACATATGAATTGGATCACAGTTGACCTTATCCAAATGTACCAGTTTCGGGATTAATTGTGGTCAAAGTTCAAACGTACTAGCTCTATGAACGATCACTGTGCATATAGACAATGGCGAAATATATGCACAAAACAAACAAAATTGGCCAAGGCCCAATATGTCTGAAAATCTGAACAATAACATATCAAACCCTAGAAACATTTGGAAAGTCATAAATAAATTACAAACTCTCCCAATCCCCTCCCAACCCTCCACTGTCCAAGTGAATTACCAAACCATGCAACTTCCCTTAGATGTAGCAAATGCCTTTAATAATTATTTTGTCAGATGTTTCACCAACCTGACTGCCAAGCTAATAAATGATAAATTTGCAAAGACCCAATATAGAGAAGTTAAATTTTAGACCTGTACCTATTAGTGTCATTAAAGGACCACTAAAGGCACTCAGACCACTTCAGCTTAATGAGGTGGTCTGGGTGCCTGGTCCATCTAGGGTTAACCCTTTTTTCTATATGTTAGGGTTAATCCAGCCTCTAGTGGCTGTCTCATTGACAGCCGCTAGAGGGCTTCCGCGTTTCTCACTGTGAAAATCACAGTGAGAAGATGCCAGCGTCCATAGGAAAGCATTGTGAATTCAGCCAGTTCCTACAATAAGGGGGGGACCTATTGTCTTCCCCCCAGCCCCCACCCATGAGCTGCTGGTGGGGGCCTTAAATGAAAGTGGAGGGACCTATTGTCCTCCCTTAAGCCCCCACTTATGGGCAGCGGGTGGGGGCTAAGTGTAAATACCCCCCAGGTGACTAGGGGTCCCTAAGGCCTTAGTCACCCCCCCACCCCAAAAAAAGTTAATACATTCCTACCTACCCCTTCACCCTAAAAATAGTGAGGGGGAACGAGAAAACTAAACACCTGTAAATAAAAAAATAACTTACCATTTGATGTCTTCTTTTTTTCTAAAATCTTCTTTTCTCAGCCTCCAAAAAGGCCAAATAAAAATCCATAATACCCGTTGAACTTTGAAAAAAAAATAAAAAAATCTGACGCAAAAAACCCCCAAAACATGACGCTTAAAAAGTAATCCATCTTCACCCTTGGAGCGCATCGTGCAGACTGAGCTCTGCAGGGCGGGGAAAGGCCTAAAAAAGTCTTGCCACACCCTGACAGGTAAGTCTCTATATTTACCTGTCACGGCACTCTGATTGGTTGGCTTGAAATCCAACCAAGCAGAGTGCTCTGTGTCATTTTAAGTTCTTTGGAATTTTCCCATGCTGTGTAATTTAACTCATAACAACACTCTGATTGGTTGCTTTCAATCAACCAATCAGAGAGTTATGAGTCAAACTACACAGCATGGGAAGATTCCAATGAAACCCTGAGACGGGTTCGGCGGGTATTATGGATTTTTATTTGGCCTTTTTTGGGGCTGAAAAAAAATAAGATTTTAGAAAAAAGAAGACATCAAATGGTGTTAATTTTTATTTACAGGGATTTAGTTTTCTCGTCCCCCCCTCACTATTTTTAGGGTGAGGGGGTAGGTATATCTTTATTAAAAAAAATTTGGTGGGGGGGTTGAATAGGGGCTTGGGGACCCCTAGTCAACTGGGGGCGGGGTATTTACACTTAGTCCCCACCCATCGCCCATGGGTGGGGGCAGGGGGAGGACATGAGATCCCCCCGTTTTCTTTTAGGACAATAGGCCCCCCTTTTTGTAATTTAGGGCCCCCACCCACTGCTCATGGTTGGGGACTGGGGGGGAGGACAATAGGTCCCCCCTTACTGTAATTTAGGGCCCCCACCTGCCACTCAGGGGTGGGTGCTGGGGGGAACAATAGGTTCCCCCCCATTTTTATCTAGGGCCCCCACCTGGCTCTCAGGGGTGGGGGCTGGGGGGAGGACAATAGGTCCCCCCTCATTTTTCATTTAGGATCCCCATCCGCCGCTCATGGGTGGAGGCCAGGGGGGAGGACATTTGGCCCCCCCTTTATTGTAACTTAGGGCCCCCACCCACCGCTCAGTGGTGGATGCCAAGGGTGACCCTATGTCCCCTGTTTACTTGAATAACCTCCACTCGAGGGGCATGGGTGTCCCCCACAGGCTAGTTATTGGGGTGGTTATGTTAACAAAAATTTGCAACAGAATGCTTTCCTATGGATTGGCTGAATGCGCGCGCGGCTCTTGCCGCGCATGCGCATTCAGCCGATGACGGAAGAAGAGGGAGGAGATTCTCCAGCACCGAGGGAGCTCGGCACTGGAGAAAGGTAAGTGTTTAACCCCTTCCTCTGCATCTAGCCTGGCGGGAGGGGGACCCTGAGGGTGGGGGTACCCTCAGGGCACTATAGTGCCAGGAAAACGAGTATGTTTTCCTGGCACTATAGTGGTCCTTTAATATCTTGGTTTAAACCATGTTTTAATGTTTTTAGATTATAGATCCACTGTGCTTCTTTTTTATTAAGCTCTATCTGTCTATCTCCCACTCTACAGTGTTTCTCCACTGTATCAATTCCAATAGCAACAAAACCTTTTACTTTTATTTTTATCCCACACTGAATATACATTCCATCTATATCATCGAGATGCGAACATTTCAGAGATATGATTGTTTTCACTTCGATCTTATAAGTGCAATCTTAATAAATATTTTGTTTTGATGTACAATCTTCCTGTTTTTGCTTTATTACAAGCTCCAAGGAACCACTTTCGATTGGAAACAGATTCATCACGAAGAATGATGTACATATGATGGGCTTGAAACTATCCAAATTCCTGTGAGTGCAATTTATTTATTGCGGGGTGACCTATATTTGACGCTATAACCCTATGTCCTATTTTTATTCTTCCCCTTAGATCTCTGGAATTATATTTCTCGTACCTACTTAAGGTAGTATTATCTCCTATTTAGAGAGTTATTATATATGTTTTCATCCCTACTTATTTGTATGTTTTGTTTTTTCTTAGTTGTTGTATTGTGTGTGGTGTTATTAATATGGTGGAAGGGCTTCTTGTGTGTGTATGTGGACTCTAAGGTGTTGTTGGGGCTGCCTGTAAATCTTTGTGTTTGTGTATGGGCTGTTTGCAGTATTTAGGCGAAGAGGGTGCTGCTTGTAGTATTTAAGTATTGCTTGTGTGCCTATGCATATTATTGCACTTCAAAGTCTTCTTTTGTATACAGTATCTCACAAAAGTGAGTACACACCTCACATTTTTGTAAATATTTTATTATCTTTTCATGTGACAACACTGAAGAAATGACACTCTGCTACAATGTAAAGTAGTATGTGTACAGCCTGTATAACAGTGTAAATTTGCTGTCCACTCAAAATAACTCAACACACAGCCATTAATGTCTAAACCAAGCATGTCAAATCACGGCCCGCAGGCGGCCCACAATGGACATCTTTGCGGCCCGGCGAGCTGAGAGTATATGCTTGGTGTTAAAGTAGAGTATGCACCTGCTTTCCCCACGTTGCAGGTGCCTACTCTGCTAAAATTTACCCGGCCGGGGAGGAGAGCCAGCGAGGGAGCTCAATGTTCCTGCTCCTCACTGCTCCCTCGTGCGCGCCGTCTGTAGTGAAGCCATGTGCTGGAATATGACATCATATTCCGGCACCCGGCATTACTAAACTGCGCGCGAGGGAGCAGTGAGGAGCAGATAGAAGATCCCCACTGGACCCCAAGTAGAGGCCCACATCAGCTCCCATAGGTAGGGAGCAATAAAGAAAAGGATGTGTGTGCAAGAATGTGTAAATGTGTGTGTGTGTGCCTCTGTCAGTGAGTGAGTGTGTCTGTCAGTGTATGTGTGACAGTCTGTGTGTGTCAGTGTGTGTCAGTGTGTGCCTGTCAGTGAGTGTGCCTGTCAGTGAGTGTGCCTGTCAGTGAGTGTGTGTGTGTGGCTGTCTGTGTCTGTCTGTCTGTGAGTGTCTGTCTGAGAGTGTGTGTGTGGCTGTCAATTAGTGTGTGTCAGTGAGTGTGAGTGTGTGCGTCAGTGAGTGTGTGTGTCAGTGAGTGTGTGTGTTGGTCAGTGTTGCATTGGCTGCAACTGGACAGTGGAATACATAGAGGTGCATGGAGGCAGGCAACATCACGTCACATTCCGACGTGACATCGACCTGCTCCACCTTCACAGGGTTTCAAGAAGTAGCGGGAGGATCAGATTTGGCATAGGGTGTGGACGGCGCCATTTGTGGTATACCAGAGGCCGGACTCCGTAGTCGCATACCGGCAGAGGCAATGTCAGTGGAGTCTGCTTGTTGGCTAGAGGGGGGTACTAGGATTTAGTATATGAGGAAAACTGGGATTTAGTAGAGGGAGGGTCTTTTGGTACCTGCATGGTGTCATGTTCCGGTGCTCCTGTCATTTTGGCCAGCGGCCGTTGTTGTTGCAGCATGGTACCTATGTCCCTGGACCCTGATGGTGTCTCCGGTGGAGGTTTAGTAGAGGGGGATGCTGGGGTTTTATTATACTGTACTTTTCAAAATAAACCTACGTTTCTATGAAATTGTAAGTTGTTTTTTTTTGTGTGGCCTCTACTTGGGGTCCAGTGGGGATCTTCTATCTGCTCCTCACTGCTCCCTCGCGCGCAGTTTAGTGATGCCGGCAGGATGGCGGCCACGAGGCGCCTCAAATAGTGAGGCACTTCATCGGGTGTGATGGCGTCTGGCACTCCCCTGATCTTAATGTGGTTGCGTCTTGTCCTGTCATCGAGGGCAATATAGTGGAGAGAGAGTGCTTGTTGTTGGGCCTGTAGGGCCAGTACAGAGTCCTGTAAGGTTGCTAGTCCCTGCTTGATGCCAGAGACATCCTTCTCTGTGGACTGCCAGTGATAGCCTGCACATCTGTTTTAATTGCTGCTATGCTGGTTGCCAGGAGGTTTTTGATTTCCCCAATTAGGTGTTGAAAGTCATGCTGGGTGACTGGGGCAGACCCATCTGGAATCCCCATGGGCGTTTGTGGCCTTTCTGGGGGTAGGTCAGGCTGTATAGGGTCTTTTGGTACTTGCATGGTGTCATGTTCCGGTGCTCCCGCCATTTTGGCCAGCGGCCGTTGTTGTTGCAGCATGGTACCTATGTCCCTGGACCCTGATGGTGTCTCTGGTGGAGGATTTTGGGACCGGCGGCCCATTGCTGCCTGGGTATTTAAGAGTGCTGTGGGGAGGTCTTCCACTTCTGGGTCCGTGGGTAGTTCAAGTCTGCCCAGGAGCGCAGACCAGTCGAGGGCTGCTGCGGGCTTGTAGGCCGCAGGTCTGCTCTTTCGTCGGTTCACCCGTGCCGGATACACAAACGTCATGGGGGGCTGCTGGGCTGTGCACAAATGGTGCCCCTGTTCAGGAGTGGGTCAGCTGAGGGTTTTAAGCCTCAATCAGCAGGCTTTGATGCGCGTTTTGGTCGGGAGCTATGCTGTGTTGCGTCCGCTCCAGCTCGTGGTCAGGCTCCGCCCCCCTCTGCAGACTTTTTAATGTAATCACTGCCTTTTCAAAGAAAAGGTGGTGTCTACATAACACTCTAGTAACACCTCTAATGGCAGTCACTCAGACTCACACAATGCATCCCTTACACACAACAAGAAACACACAATACATCCCTTATACACAAACACTCACTGCTTTCTATCCCTTACACAAACAACACTGCATCACCTACACAAACTGGTATCCCTATACACTACATTCCGTAAGCACACACATTAGATCCTCTACAGTAACACATAACACATCCCCTACACACTCTACTCCCTGTGAGCAAACTCATGGGTGGAACATGTAGGTGGCCTTATGGGTGGGCTTTATGGGCATACTCACCGTCAGGCCCTGGGGCCCAGACCTTGAGCTATGTAAGAGGCCCCCAAAAATGGAGCTGCTTCCCATTCTCCCAGAACATTGAATTTTGTGACCACAGTTGCAAACAGCCTCCAGAGATCCTGTTCTACACCAGACCAGTGGAGCCAGACTGCAGCCAGAGCCCATCACCATCCTCATCTGATTGTAAGTAGACAATCTAGTATATTATTAGTGACACTCATCTCTAATTTACCTCACATTAAATGGACACTATAGTCCCCAGAACCACTGCAGCTTAATAAAGTTGTTCTGGTGTCTATAGTTTGTCCCTGCAGGCTTTTTAATGTAAACACACACTGTGTGCAGCACTGGCACTAGTTCATATGGCAGATCATATGGGTGGGGCATTGCGATGTCCCGGGGGTGGAGGGGCGGCAAATCTTTCTTTTGCCTAGGGCGACAAAAATCCTTGCACCGGCCCTGGGGAGAGGAAACCACTAAGGAGGGGAGAAAGAGATCACTAAAGGACAGGGAGGTGAAAAACCACTAATGGACAGGAGGGGAGAGAAGACCGATGAGAAACAGGGAGAGGAGACCACTAAGTGATGGGGATGAGAGAGGAGATCACCAAGGGATGGGGAAGGGCAAGGGGAGGCCACTAATGATGGGGGGGGGGGAGGAGACTTCTAAGGGACTGGAGGAGAGACCACTAAGGGACAAGGCCGAAGTGTAAGAGATTACAAAAATTGACGGAAGGGGTGAAAGAGACACACAAAGTGGCTGGTGGGAGAGAAAAAGGCACTTAGAGGGGCCTGAGTACGGGAGAAAGACACACAGAGGGACTTACGGGAGGAAAAAGACAAACAGAGGGGCTGGGGGTGAAAAAGACACAGAGGGCCTGGATGTGAAAGTGACACACTGAGGGGCTGGACAAGGGGAAAAAGAGACACATGGAGGGGCTGGGGGGAGACAGAAGGGCTGGGTGTGAAAGAGACATACACAAAGGAGCTGGGAAGAGTAAAACACACAAAGGGGCTGGGAGAGAAGGAGACACACAAAGGGGCTGGGGGTAGTAAGACACACAAAATTTGGGAAGATGTAAGAGTCATACAAAGAGGGGGGATAAGAGACACACCAGGGGGGTTATAAGAGATAAACAAGGGAGGTGTAAGGCACACAATAGGGAAAAATAGGGGAAAAGATACACTAAAGAGGGTAAGACTAAAAAAAGTGGGATAAGAAACACAAAAGGGGGGTTAAGAGGCACATAGGTGAATTCATTTCTTGGGGTGGGGGCAAAATGCATCTTCACCTGTGTACCCAAAAATCCTAGCAAGGCCCTGCATGTATAATTTCCGGTCCTGGCAAGGATAATTCAGACATTCTTTGCCTTTGGTTTTATTGGAAGTTCGATAAAGATTGTCTTTCATAAAAAGATCAGGCTGGTGGTGGTAAATCCTGCAACTTATACTTATTGGATCAGACATTCACAAATGGTTTGATCCCCCCGAAGCTGGATAGTCCTTAGTAGTACTGTATCCACTCCACACTTGTAAGTGTATCCACTTTTGTTGCTACACTTCTCTTTTCAAATTATTTTTTTTTTAACAATTGTAGAGAAATACATTGTTAACAATGCATAACATACAATATAACATAACATAATAGTAAACAAAAACAATACAAATAAAACACAGGTAAAGAGAAAAATTTAAAATAAAAATAAAAGGGGAATACAGTTGCAAGAAAAAGTATGTGAACCCTTTGGAATGATATGGATTTCTGCACAAATTGGTCATAAAATGTGATCTGATCATCATCTAATTCACAACAATAGACAATCACAGTCTGCTTAAACTAATAACACACAAAGAATGAAATGTTGCCATGTTTTTATTGAACACACCATGTAAACATTCACAGTGCAGGTGGAAAAAGCATGTGAACCCCTAGACTAATGACATCTCCAAGAGCTAATTGGAGTGAGATGTCAGCCAACTGGAGTCCAATCAATGAGATGAGATTGGAGGTGTTGGTTACAGCTGCCCTGCCCTATAAAAAACACACACCAGTTCTGGGTTTGCTTTTCACAAGAAGCATTGCCTGATGTGAATGATGCCTCGCACAAAAGAGCTCTCAGAAGACCTACGATTAAGAATTGTTGACTTGCATAAAGCTGGAAAGGGTTATAAAAGTATCTCCAAAAGTCCTGGAGGTTTTACACAAGTATCTCCACAGCGTCCTGGAGGTTTTACACTTAAAGGAGTAAGAAGTTCCCAGTGGAGGTCCTGTTTGTGTATTCAAGGCATCCAATTTGAGCCAGCTAATTAAGTGGCTCTGTTTATGTAAGTGTGATTGACACCTATTGTAAATTTATTTTATTAGGTTATACTACTCTATGTCTTTTTTATTTGTTTTTCTCCAGATTAATTGACTGCGGTGTGGGTAGTATTTCCATATTTTGTGTGCTCTCACCTAATTGTTATTGGTTATAATTTTATTGTCAGCCAGTCCACACAAGTTTTGTTTCTATACATCCCTCTTAAGTTTCCAAACTTAAAGGGACACAATAGTCACCAGAACAACTACAGCTTATTGTATTTGTTCTGGTAAGTAGAATCATTCCCTTCAGGCTTTTTTCAGTTAACACTGGCCACTCCTTAGATTGCTGCTAAAGGTGCTTCCTGGGGCAGTACTGCCTAGTGTGCAGCACTGCCATTCAGTGTCTCCACCCTCTGCATGGAGACACTGAACTTTCCTCATAGAGATGCATTGATTCAATTTATCTTTATGAGGAGATGCTGATTGGCCAAGGCTGTGTTTGACTTGTGCTGGCTCTGCCTCCTTGACAGTCTCAGCCAATCCTACGGGGAAGCATTGTGATTTGCTCAGACCACCACTTCTTATGATGCCAGCAGACAGAGTCAGTTCAGAGGCAGAGCCAGCAGCTGCAGACTTGCATACAAGTAGGATTTTACTATATTTAGGGAGGCAAGAAGAGGCCAGGGGGGCTAGATGGTGGTTTTAACATACTAGGGTCAGAAATACATGATTGTGTCCCTGACCCTATAGTGTTCCTTTAAGCGAGAGTATGTGACGAGAAGTTAGGGTTGCCACCTTTCTTGAAAAAAATACCAGCCTTCATCATTTGTATAATTAATTATATATGCGTGACACCACATGATGTAAATTGTAACGGACCGTTTTGCACACAAGGGGTAAAAACCGTTTAGGCGATCGGCCCCCTTTCCAGAGATCCAGGCACAGCTACTGCAGAACACCAAAACTCACGAACTGGATACAAAATAGCACTCCAACTCCCGAACTGGAACCTCCCAAATAGCTGCTAGCAGACGAACAGGAAAAGCAGCGAACAGCTTACACTCCTGGCAATCAGTCTCTAACAGCATACAGTGAATCCCCCCAAGAACGAGACAAGGCTCCGTGTTGAGGGTCAAGCAGTGGTCTGAGGTGCTGGCACACCCAGCCTGGTTTTATTACAGTGTTTCAAATACAGGACCACCCACAGGGAGGGATAAAACAACCAATCATATCACAGTTACATCCCACATATTCCCTCCCCTTATCCTGAGAGGAAACTCAATTATACAAACAGTTAAAACATACTTTCTACCCAACTTTCATAACCCCAAAACCATACATCACATTCACATAAAATTACATATTCTCAATCAATCCATTCAGGGGAACAACATATTCAAAAATGGCACAAATCAGACAAGGGGTTCAAAAGTTAGTAAAAAGTCCCTTGTGACTAAATGAAGCATGGCTTTCTGGCCCAAACCAGTTTCAGAGTCTTCTATCCTGGAGATAAGTAATTAAATTATCTCCCAGGACAGACACAAGACTCCATTAAGCACATGGTTTCAAAAAGACACAAAACACTTTAAAATACATAAAGTCACATTTATTACATAAAACACAGACATGTAACATATCCCCAGATAGCTCAGGTCCGAGCGCACATTATTAAGCGAATGGCGCTCAGACCACACAAATACATTTTAATCGCCATGGAGCCAAAGTCTTTACAGTCAGTTTCATACGAATGGGCTCCATGGGATTCCTATCTGGGGTGTAACACATTCAAACAAATCTACTGAACCCCAGGCAGAAAAGCACGAATGAAGCTTTTCTGCAGGTAAAAAAAGATGTCTTTTAACAGGGGGCCATAGTCCAAAGGCAGCAGGCGAGCAACCAGGCTTCTCCAATGCAATATGGCGAGATTGGTCTCGTCACATAAATCACAAGGAGTGACATAAGAGAAAATTCTGTAAAATCACCAACAAACTACTCACAGTTTGATTCTGCTGTATAGATGGATTGCTCCCAGTGTCTCCCTGTCTCCCAGTGTTTTAGTGTCCCTATATCGCCAAGTCCCCTAGTCTCCCAGTGTCTTAG